CACTGTCTCCAAGCATCAGTGATGAACGCATCATTCACCAACAAGCTTAAGGTGCTTAGGGTTATGGGTTATATTACATTTGATTTGGATAAGTGCGAGACATTTCCTCAAGGCATATATAAAAGGTACTTTAATGAGGAGAATATTACAAAATTTATATCAAATATCGAAAATACTTCTTGGGAAGAGATATATAATGTAAGTCCGGATCAAGTGGATGATCAGTGGAATATATTTATGAGTAGATACTTAGAAAGTTTTAACTATTGTTTTCCATTAAAATATGTCAGCCTAAAAAATACAAATAGAAATAAAAATAATTATAAGCACAACATAAATTCCGAAATTACTGATCTTAAAAAACAACTTGATGTATGGTTGGTATTAGCAAATAATAACGATTTGTTTAAGGAACAATATAAAAATCTTAAAAAAAAGTATGATGAATGTTTAAGAATAAATAAGAAGAACTCTTTTGATAACAGGATAATGGAATCGGATAATAAAAGTAAATGTTTGTGGTCTATCTGCAATGAGGTAACAGGAAAGGTGTCTAAAAAACATTGCTTTATCAAAGGGAATTCTCAAACTGTAGCTAATGACTATAATCACTTTTTATTGGACTTAATCCCTAATTTATTGTCAAACCATCAAAGTAAAGATTTTAAACCGATTATTGATATTAATAATAAGTCTATGTTCCTAACACCGGTCATGGGATCGGAGATTGTGGAATTAGCCACAAAAATAAAAAACAAATTTAGTAGCGGGGAAGATAATATTCCAGTAAATATAATGAAAAAAAGCCTTGGCGCAGTGAAGGAAATTTTGTCCTACATAATAAATAACACATTCAAATTTGGGATAGTGCCTCATCAATTAAAGTTGTCGATCATTAAACCAATTTTTAAAAATAAAGGTGATCCGGAATTAATGGAGAATTATAGACCCATCAGTTTGCTTCCTGCATTTTCAAAAGTTTTTGAACTAGCAATGGTTCGTAGGCTTACAAGTTTTATGAATAATTGCAATTTATTCAGTCATAGTCAGCATGGCTATAGACAGGGTAAATCTATAAATACAGCTATCTATAATTTTACAAATGACATCATTAATTTTTT